GTATGCGGTACATTTTCGGCATAAGGAAATATGACCATTTAACTTATAAATTGAAGGATCTTGGATGGCTTAATATGAGGTCTCGTATTAAAATGCTATCACTTACGCTTTATCATAACATGATTGTTGGTCGCAATCCACCCTACTTAGCTAGAAAGATTTATTTTAGAGGTGACTTGCATAGTGTCAACATCAGAAATAGAAATGTTATAAATCCTACAGTGTATATTCTCTATACAACTCTATCCCAGATTATACAGGGTGTACAAAAAGTATGGAATAATGGTTCTACAGCCTAAACTTCAACTTATATTAAAAAAAGTTTTAAATAAAAGTTACTTGAGACTATTTTCCGCATATCTTGGTGCAGAAATAAAATAAAAATGATGACGGCAGTTTGAGTTATGACATGGTGAGTGTGTTTTTTAAATGGAACACCCCATATACTTTAAGGTTTTTGGATTCCTTTTGACAAGGTGTTTCAAAATGCCATAAGGTTTTAATGCTTTAAACTGCATAGTTTTCGAGATATTGAAACTTTCATTTAAAAAGATTTGACGTTGCGACAACCAAATTATGACGTCATTGTGGGATTGTTATGTATGTCACTATGGTAACGGTGGTGACTCGACGTCACAGACGTGGGCGGAGCTTATACCGACTATAAACATCTTCGTTGCTAACGATAAATCCCCATATGCAATTTTTCAATTAGTGTTAAAATAAAATAAACTAAGCGACATTTTAGATGACATTTTAAATGACATTTTTATGGCGATTTATTTTAGCAACTCTCTGTGACGTCAGACTTAGGCAGTCTATTTTAAACTGATTTCGAAAAGACCTTAATTGTAGATATTAAATAAATAAGAACATGGGTTTAGGACACGGAGATATTATTAGTTATTTCAGTTATTGTTACTATTGAACATTACATACGCCTGTATAAAAATTACACATTTCTGAAGCAGGCTATGACGTGACGATATGATTGTTATGTGCGTTGCCATGGTAACGGAGACAGTTTAAACAAAGTAGAGTTGTTAGCATTATTAGTTAAATATCTACTAGAAAAATGGTACATTTAACGGAAACAGAACGAATTATTATTTTAACAATGGTTGATTTTGGAGATCGTATGAGAACGCAACATGAAATATGTGTTCTATTTCCAAATTCCAAAATGCGGTCGGCCGAATGTTGCAACAAATGAAGATATGAGGCAAGGTGCGTTAGAAGAAATAACAGATAATCCACATACCTCGATTCGTCAACTAGCCTTAAATTTCGATGTCAGTACAGGATCTATTCAAAACATTTTGAAAAAGGAGAAACAACATCCCTATAAACCAGCTTTACTGCAAGAGTTATCAGAAGATGATTTTGATAGACGTGTACAATTTTGTGAAGAAATGATGAGGCGAATTAACGATGATCTAAACTTCATTAACAAGATAATATTTTCTGACGAAGCCACATTTTATTTGAATGGAAAAGTAAATAGACACAATTGTCGATACTGGTCTGCTGAGAACCCCCGCTGGGTAATAGAAACTCATACGTAAACGCCGCAGAAAATAAATTTGTGGGCAGGTATTTGTAGAGATCGAATTATCGGCCCGTTTGTAATCTATGAAAACCTTACTGGCGATCGTTATCTGGAATTACTGCAGGAACAAATAATTCCGACCTGTAGAGACCTTTTTCCGAACGAAAACAATCTCTGGTTTCAACAAGATGGGGCACCACCTCACTATCAACTAAATGTACGCAGGCTTTTAGATGAAGTATTTTTGAATCGTTGGATAGGCCGTAGGGGTCCTGTAGAATGGCCACCACGCTCTCCAGACTTGACACCATGCGACTTTTTCTTATGGGGTCACCTAAAGAGCAAGGTATACAAAAACCGTCCTAACAATTTAGCAGAATTAGAACGGCGAATACGGTACGAAGTAGCTCAAATACTGCCCGATCATTTAAGAAATACAATTCGAGCTTTTAGTGATCGTTTAGGCCATTGCCTTGCTGCTAATGGACAACATTTTGAACATTTAATTTAATATTGTTACCGTTTTTGTTTTATTTTTTGTTATTGTTCGTTATGAAATTTCATTGTTTAATTATTATTTGTTACAATTAAATGTAGTAACCACCCATGTTCTTATTTATGTAATATCTACAACTAAGGCCTTTTCGAAATCAACTTAAAATTCGGGCGGAAACTGTCTCCGTTATCACAGTAACACACATAACAATCCCATAATGACGCCATAATTTGGTTGTCGCAACGTCAAATCTTTTTAAATAAAAGTTTCAATATCTCGAAAACTATGCAGTTTAAAGCATTAAAACCTTATGGCATTTTGAAACACCTTGTCAAAAGGAATCCAAAAGCCTTAAAATATACAGGCTGTTCCATTTAAAAAACACACTCACCATGTCATAACTCAAACTGCCGACATCATTTTATTTCTACATCAAGATATGCGGAAAATAGTCTCAAGTAACTCTTATTTAAAATTCTAGTAAATCCATAATCACTGAGGTGTATGATTTAAAATAAGGTAAAAATTTAAAGAGCTCTTTCTCAGTTTTCTAATAAATATTACTTAGTACCGGTTTCGATAATTACTTATCATCATCAGCTAAATCTACAAGCGAAATTATAATAAAGGCATATAGAAATAAATAAAATAAATAAATAAAACAAGTAAACTTACAGTCAAATAAATAATAAAAGTCACAATATAAAATGATTAAAATACTAGACTAAAATAACGAGAAATAAAAATGTAAAGTGGACGACACTGAACAACACTACAGGTTAAAATGGAGTAATCACAAAGGAATAAAACAAGTTTCACGGATATATTAAAAACTAGAATTTTAAGTGTGAGTATAGAGATTTGTAAATGGCGCAAAGCTGATCATTCATTTATTTTAGATTTTTATGTTTGTGTTTATCTATCTCGAGTTGTTCTAAAAGGTCTAATTTTTTACCCTTCTTATAGTTGTGCAGGAGAGACACATTGTTAAAATCGATGTCATGATTAAATTCCATTTTATGTTGGTAGACATTTGAAGAAGAAGTATTTTTATGTTCCTTAATTCTTTTTGCGAGTTTTCTACCTGTTTGGCCAATGTATAATGCCTGACATTCGTTACATTTAATAGAATAAATTAATTAACCCTAATTATTTCCCAAACTATAAATGTTAGGTATAGGACATATGGGATATAAAAGATGTAAAATGAGACACCGAAGACGACTAAGCAATAAAATATGGGGGGTGCCATTTAAAGAAATGAAGTTATGGTACTTCCATGTTTCGAAAAGGTAACGTGCCATAGTAAAGTGACCAAACGTTCTAGACACCCATACTCGACACCAAAACATACTCCATCATGTTGCTTAAGCATGTTCTGAATCCTAAATTGATACCCCAAAAATCGAGTGTTCTCTGATTTTTTGAGCAAATGTCTGCTGGAGCAGATTTTTCTTCAGATTTCTTTTTCTTCAGATTTTTCAGAAAAATTCGAATAACTCGAAAACGGCCGAATCAAATTGCAAAAAGTGAAGTCATTCATAAACCCTGAAAACAGACAAATCCAAATATGTAAAAATATACAGGGTATTCCATTTAAAAAAATAAAGTAGGTGGCGACTTCCGGTATAACCGGAAGTGTTAGATATTTGAAAATATTTTAGTCGAAGAGAACGCAATTGATAATACTTAAATCTGAATTTTCAAATTTGTATTTTGGCCAGAACCCTGTAAAGTTCTAATGGACGGTCGTCGTGGATGACCCTGTATATGTCATAATTTAGATCTAAGTCATTTCTATTTATAGTTAAGTCAAGAAAATTAATTTTTATATCTTTTTCAATTTCTAAAGTGACTTATTATTACGAAAAACTTATTTAAAACTTTTTTTAATATAAGTTGAAGTTTAGGCTGTAGAACCATTATTCCATACTTTTTGTACACCTGTATAATGGTTGGGCATGGCCGTGCGTTTAAGTGTTTGTCGTTTAATTACCTTTTTAACATGCAGTAATTTTAACATTGAGGAACATCTCGGAAGGTTATTAAATTTTATGTTGTTGTTTGATAGCATTGGTTTAAATTTTGATTCTTTAAGGGCGNAATAAAAGTTTCAATATCTCGAAAACTATGCAGTTTAAAGCATTAAAACCTTATGGCATTTTGAAACAGCTTGTCAAAAGGAATCCAAAAGCCTTAAAATATACAGGGTGTTCCGTTTAAAAAACACACTCACCATGTCATAACTCAAACTGCCGACATCATTTTTATTTTATTTCTACATCAAGATATGCGAAAAATAGACTCAAGTAACTCTTATTTAAAACTTTTTTTAATATAAGTTGAAGTTTAGGCTGTAGAACCATAAATTTCTTTATTCCATACTTTTTGTACAGCTGTATAAAGGTTGGGCATGGCCGTGCGTTTAAGTGTTTGTTGTTTAATTACTTTTTTAACATGCAGTAATTTTAACATTGAGGAACATCTCGGAAGGTTATTAAATTTTATGTTGTTGTTTGATAGCATTGGTTTAAATTTTGATTCTATAAGATCGGTAATTTAGAGATAATACGGAATTTTAGCTTTAAGTTCTTTTTAAGCATTTACTGGCCTGTTTTGATAGTTTTTTTTAATTTAAGGCTGCGGTGGAAGAACAGTAATCTTTTGGCCATGGCACTGAATCCGCGACCTTATGATTCTTCAACAGTTATTATTATTATTGTTTTTCTTGTTTTTTTTTTAAGTTCAATTAGCGTTAATACAGTTTTTGTATATATGTATTGAAGAATAAACTATTATTATTATTATATAAGCGATGATCAATCTTGTATGAAAATCTGGCTGCCTATCTTACAGTTCTTTATTGAAATTATTCATTTAGGACGTAATCAATAAACAATATAACATGCACATAATAATACATATAAAGGTTATTTTAATATCTATTGTTTTTAGATATCAATTTATGTCAACAACAGCAAATCCACAAGATCGTTACGCAAGTTTAACAATGAAAAATCGAATGCCAATAGAAAAATGTATAACAACAAACAACGTAAAGTGTAATCCTATTGATGGAAATCAATATGATTTTTCCATATCTTATTTCTGTGGTAATGATGAAAGATGTGGGTAAGAAACAGCAATTTATACTTAATTAATCATAATTAATCCATTTTTTTTAGATTACACAATAACAAATGGGCGTTAAATACCGCTAAATTAATAGTGGAGAAATATTATCCAGTTGTGGGTGTTTTAGATGAATTAAACGCAACGCTAGCCGTACTTGAAAAAAAAATACCATATTTCTTTAAAGGTGTACAAGAAATGTACCACAAGGATCTTTTGGGTAACTTAATGTAAAATATAACCAATAAAAAATGCAGAAATAATTTCTTTATTTCCAGAGCAACACCACATTAATGTAAATGAACGCAAGTTAAAAGTTACAAAGAGTGTTAGAAAATATTTGAAGAGACTATTAATAACGGAATATGAATTTTATGAATGGATAAAATCAAGATTATTTAACGAATTGATTTAATGAAAACGCAACTTTTATTTATAACACTTTGTGCCAAACCAAAGATAAAGCTTTTTATACAAATATTTATTTTAAATCCTTATACATGTAGGATAATTAATGTTTATTGTATTATGACCTTTTTAAATTGCTTTAACAAGACATGCTCGAAAAAAAGAAAATCATATTCAAGTATAAATAAACGAAAACACACATTAGCAGCGTCGATCATTTCTTCTTGGCGTCCTTTAATCCGGCTCCCGCGTTAAATTTAAAGAAAATAATATCTCCATCTTCAACCACATAATTTCTACCTTGTTGTCGATATTTTCCAGCGGCTTTAACCCCCGTTTCTGATCCTTCTTCTTTAAAATCGGCAAACTTCATTACTTCGGCCATAATGAAACCTTTTTCAAAATCGGTGTGAATTTTTCCCGCCGCTTGAGGAGCTTTTGTACCTTTCTGTAAATATTAAAAGCGTTTTTAGTGCCTCTATTACTCAATAGATGTCCAAACGAACGATTTGAAAAGAAAAACTGCTAACGATTCGTCGAATTCTAACACGAAAAGTGGACGCAATTGTTTGAAATATTCCGTGTAGCGCGTAATTCTTATGCAAATTGTCGGGAGACAATTTGAGGGCGAAAGGGCAATTTCACGACTTGCAGCTGAGGCTGTGGGCGGAAACGAAGCGGGAATTTTAATGCGTCCCTCAGCCAAACCCGAAAGAAGAAAAATTACCTTTTCAATGCGACATGCAAATTCAATTCGGTACGTTTCCTTCTGTTTCCATTTATAAAAAGATGGGAAAAGATGTGCTCAAGTTGAAAGTGACTAAGGTAATTTCGATAAAACGGGATGAAAAGAATAAATCAATTTATAAAGGTTGTTTTTACCTGAATTGTCCAAGCTTTTACTTCGTCAACTCCAGCTGTAAAGAAATATTCTAATTGAAGAGCTTTGTATCCTTGAACGATAATTTTATCTAAAGCGCTAAAACAAAGAATATTATTATTAGTGATGAAATGAATAAAAGAATTATTAGGATTTAAAATTTGTTGATTGTGTCGTTTCTTTTTGGGGAAAGAAATCAGAACAGAAAATCGTAAAGACAATAATCGCTGGTATCGTTCGAATACCCACGCAGACACAACTGGTTTTACAATTGGGGTAGCAGAGATTTCGGCCTCCAAACCTGTAATCAAGCGTTTTTGGTCTTTCGACGTGTACGTGGATCGCTTTTTGATGATCGCGTCATTTGATTTGATTGTTTTCAATTTCGCTCGACCGGGAGGTAATGAATGGATACCGCGCCCAAGAAAAATTTCTTGTGGTAAAATTACCGAAATTCTTTCAATAATTTCTTTGTTATAAATCTTTTAAATGTTCTCATTGAAAAGTATAAGATTTTTGTAAAAAAACAAAAAATGTGAACCTAATTTAATATTTCCCACTTTGTATTTTACACTTTTTATTCGTGGTTAGAGATTCAGATGGCGCTGATTAATAGTTTTAATTTTGGCCATTCTGTTTTTATACAAATTAAGATATCTTGGATATTGCAAAATATATTAATTTTAATATGTCGAATTTGACCATGTTCACGCGGTTGGGGTTCAAAATCATATATAATTAAAATATAAATGATTTTAAACTGACATTAATTATACCTTAAGACCGAATTCAACATCATGATGAGGAAAATAACATTTTAGAGCAGATTTCATGAAGATTTAATGTGCTATTAATAATTTATTACTGTCAATAAATCGTCACGTCATGATGTGTTTACATATATTAATAGTAATTCGCAAAACTGTATCTCAAGAACGATGTCAATTCGTTCTTAAGATACAGTTTTGCGAATTTCTATTAAAACCCTTTTTAAACTAGTGTTGCCATATGGCATCACAGCGCGCTCACTTATTATTTATTATTTGCAAGTTTGAACTTGTTTGTGCAAGCAAATCGTGTCGGGAAGCGTTTATGCATGTGCAGAAACCTCAATCGCGCCATAACAAGCAGTTAGAGCGGTTCTAAGTATGTTTTGTTAGAAATAATAGTTAATTCATTATAGTGATTTTTATGATTGACGACGATATGGATGATTACGAGAGGTAAGTAACTATTTTTTATATTTCGCAATAATAGAAATATTTGATTCTTATGTATTTTATGTGGGATTCAGAGAGAACAATTCAGAGGGAGAACAGTAGAGAGAGACTGGGGCAGTATGAAGAAGAGCGGGTACGAGTAAAGACGTAAAGAGTAATTGAACTATTTTCTGATAAAATAAATGATTAATACAGTTGTAAGTGAAAGANCGGTTGGGGTTCAAAATCATATATAATTAAAATATAAATGATTTTAAACTGATATTAATTATACCTTAAGACCGAATTCAACATCATGATGAGGAAAATAACATTTTACAGGAGATTTCATGAAGATTTAATGTGCTATTAATAATTTATTACTTTCAATAAATCGTCACGTCATGATGTGTTTACATAAATTAATAGAAATTCGCAAAACTGTATCTCAAGAACGAATTGACGAAACATTATGCAGCTAATTTAATATGGATTACAAAAATAATTTCTTATTTTCCATAAACTGCATTGTTATGGTTTTTTAAACATAACTCTGCACCTTTATACAGTGTAAGTTGTAAGAATTTATGTCTATTAAGTTTGACACACGATTTCTAAAAAAGGAGTAGTACAACACCTTTGGCAAGTTATTTTAAAAAATGGTCTGTTTAGTAAAGATTCCAAAATGATATAACACTTGCCATTTTCTTTTCCAAAAAAATATTATTGCCTGTTTTCTGCAAAAAACGCGATATTTAAAAAATTCATACTATTGTTAGGTCTCGTAGTCGAAATAATACACCGGTTCACGTTTAACTTAATTATATTCGCATAAAAGGACCAAACTAGAAAAATGCGTGTCTCTCGAACGACATTCATAATAGAACTCTCGAGCGTACAAGTCGACAATAAAGTAATGCGCACATGGGTGTAAGTATTGTTGGCTAACATTCGGCCTCGATGCCACTGGAATCGCCCTCGATTTCTTGTGGATTGTATGGAGAACACCACAATTTCATCCTGTCAGCCGAAAACACGGAATTGAAAGTACGTTGCGTTCTTTCAGCACCAGGAATATCTGAAATCATATAACGATCATTGCCTAACAAAAATTTAATTTGATATGGACCCTTGTAAACTGGCTTCAATTTCCGAGATTCTCCAGTCGTCGAAGGTTCTTTTCGAAGTAAAACCAAATTTCCAACTTGATATTGTTGTGGGGTTTGATGGCGGGCATCAAAACGTTCTTTCTGGCGCATTTGTGTTGATTGAATTCTCCGTAAAGCCTCTGCTCTAGTTTCATCCAAATCTTCCTTGTCATCTTCTATTGTTAGCGCTAAGAGCTACTTGTTTTGTAGTCCATTACGGGGATGATAACTGAACAACAAATCATGTGCGGATTGATTTTCCTGTTGTCTTGTTAACCATTGAGTTAATAACAAACTGAATACGTCGTAGATGAAGATCCCAATCATTTCCATCTTCTCTAGTGTATGAAGTGGTTATAGCAGTAGTTACAGTACGATTATAGCGTTCAACCTGTCCGTTCGCTCTATAGGTCGCTGTAGCATTCTATATGTGAAATCGTTTGAAGTAAAGGCCGTGCCTCTATCGGTTATCAATCTGTTCGGAGGTCCAAAGATACCTGTTATCTCATCTAAGGTTTGAAGGACATTCTTTGTTTTCGTGTCCCCCAGCTTTCAAATACACATACTTTGCAAAATTGTCGATGTAAACTAAAAAATGAACGTTTCCGTTTGCGCTCTTTGGAAAAGGTCCAAAATGATCCATATTTGCGATATGGAATGGAATAGTAATTCGTTCGATGTTGTGCAATCTAGTTTCACCTTTTCCACCCTTCAGCTTACGATAAGCACATCCCACACATGAAGTGATATAATTTTTCACAATCTTTGACATCTTCGGGAACCAGTAGGTTTTTCTCAAGTATCCCATAACTTTTTCGAACCCAAAATATCCCATGTCATCATGACCACTCTTTATGACTCTCCATCGTATCTCCTTCGGTACAACCCACCATTTCCTACTTTTCGGTACAGTCTATTTTTATCTAATTTATAATCTAAATGTATCTGCTTATCTTCATTTGATTCTCTGGTTTTCTTTTAAGTGTGTCGCAAATCATTTTCAATTTCTGACCTTGACGTTGCATAGTTAAAAGCCAATCATCTTCATTTATTCGAATGGTCATCACGTCCATTCCGGCAGTGTCGAAATCTTTCGGTGGACCATTCGGATTTCTACTGAGTGCATCCACATGTGCCATCCTTGATCCAGGACGATATTCGATATCAAAATCGTATTCCTGCAATTTAAGTATCCAACGTTCAACACGAGGTATTGGCTTTTTACTTCATTATGGTTCTTAATGAGTTGCAATCAGTAATCACTCGAAATTTCTTTTCAAGCAAACACATGCGGAAACGATCCAAAGATTCCACTATAACAACAGCTTCTAGCTCGTAGCTATGGTACTTTTGTTGGATAGATGATGTTTAACGGCTATAGTAAGATACCACACATAACGGTTCATCGCCCTTTTTCTGAAAAAGTATATCTCCTAGGCCCGTCTTGCAAGCGTCGCTATGGACTTCTAGTTCTGCATAAGGATCATATAACGCAAGTATGGGTCGTTTTCCTAACTCATCTTTTATCTTCTGAAAAGCATTCTCTTGATCTTCATTCCAATGCCAGTTAACGTTCTTATGTGTCAAGATTGTTAAAGGTTTTACCATTGCTGCATACCGCAAAATAAATCTTCTGAAAAATCCAGATAATCCCAGAAATTGTCGTACTTCATGTACGTTGGTCGTTTAAATCCCTTTACAGCATCAATCTTCAATTCCCCTGGCTGAATGCCATCGCTACTCTCCTCGAAACCCAAATAATCAACTCTCTGCATCAGAAATTTACACTTTTTCAAGTTTAATGTCAGATTTTCTTCTTTTAATACGTTTAATACCCTTTCTAGCCTTTTTTTTCTTCTTCTATAGTCTTACTCAGTATCAGAATATCGTCCATATAAACTGTTATTACCTTTTTACCCAATTTCCTCTCGATTTGCTTTATAAGTCTGTTAAACACGCTCGGGGCATTGACCAACCCAAAAGGGACTCTTGTAAACTCATACAATCCTTCTGTCGTACCGAATGCTGTATACTGACTATTATTCTTCTCCATCGGAATCTATAATATCCACTTGCAAGGTCCAGTGTGGTAAAATAATTATTTCCAGCCAACTGATCAAGGTTTTCCTCCAAATTATTTATAGATACATACTCTTTTTTGGTGACTGCATTTACCTGGCGATAGTCAATACACATCCGTGAGCCTCCTGATTTCTTTGAGGACTAGCATAAGATGACTGAGACTCGCGCACAATACCCGCAGCTAGTAAGTTTTAAAGTTTAAGAATCTATAGTTTTGGGTCATTTAATTACAGCAGACAAAGACTAAGTAAACTGTATAACATCGACTTTGTCGAGTGAAGGGAGCACCATTTTTCAATGAGGCACACCACTTCGTTTCATCCGCGCAATCGACATTGCAATCACATCATGGTGTCGACCTTTCAAGACATGACGCATGTAACTAAAAACTACAATCTTATCCACAACAAAATAGAAGGATTCAATATCAGATAATTATGTTTAATAAATTAGTAGCTCCTATTAGGAGCAATGAGTGATGGAAAACGACATTTTCTATACTAATAATCAATAAAATCTGGTCAAGAATCCATTCGCAAAGAGAATGTTTGATCATACTGACAGTGAAAACTGAGTAGTGCTTGCTTCAGTTACATAATTTTGCTTTAAAATGATAATTATTTCATCATGCTATCTTAACTCAATCTTAAGATATAATTTTAAAATATAA